GACAATACCCCAGACCCCAGATCTTACTGATTGGTATGGTTCCCATGTGTCAGAATGGTGAAATGTACAAGACACCTATTCAGATGTATCCTTTTCCTGCGATTATGGCAGTTTTCTTCTTCTTTTTTTGGCTTCTTGGAAGATTTACTACTCTCCCAGGCTTTTGGCCTCCCAGGGAGGTCAAAGGGCTCCGAGTTAGTTTGCTTTTCTGCCACTCTTTGAATACCAAGGTGCCACCAAACCTTTTTCCAAGGCCTCTTGGAAAAGTACACAGCTGCTTATGCCACTTCTCAAGCACAACTCACAGGCATGCCCTAGAATCACCCCTCAATAGCTTACTGTCTCTAGAAAGGTGACTTCTCACTATTATCACAGCTTTAAAAAATATATTTCCTATAGACCTAATAGCATAAGGAACTGGTTTTGACATTTGATAGGCCTGGGTTCCAATCCTTGCTCTGTGAACATGCAAGTCCCATGAACTTTTATGTCCTCATCTTTAAAGTGGGAAGTGACAATATAAAGAAAATAGATTTGTGTAAGTCAATAGCAAGTGCATTTTAACAGAAAAGGACAAGAATATATTCAATTATGTGGTAATAAGTAAAATTTTCCCCTTATCTATTCTATCTTGAACAAAAAGAATAAAATGGTAAGAAATATATAAGAGAAATAAGCAAGCGGATACAACAATGGATACTGGGTGATGTGCAGCCCTATCTGAATCAAAGCATCATGTAACGTATAGGTAGTTCTGCCCAGTAGTCGGTACACGGGTCAGGGGCCCAGCTAGGATCATGATCACTTTCTACATGTTTAGACATTCCACATCAACCTAACCCTTGCCTACAATATGGCAAATTTCCAAATTTCAGCATGCCAGTGTCAGGAAATAATTGAGTTGAGATTATTCTCTAGCTTCAGTATGCGTGACAGCTCTGAACATTCCCATGTGCACGCTGCATGTGAATTACTCATTGAAATTTACTATGGAGAACATCCCTTTTATGAACAATAGTAACTTCACCAGAGTAACAGACTCTGTGTCCAATACAAATGGATTTTGGTGCTGAGAAGAAAGTATTGTACCATCTACTCTTAAGTCCTCATCTGGGAGAGGACTATCCAGTTAGGAAATTATCCAGATGTGATGATATGCCACGGAGAGTTCTGATAGCTTATTTATTTTTAACATTTTTAAAGGGACAAGACAAGTAAAGACATAAAACTCAAATAAGTCTATCAAATGGGTTCTGATGTAAGGAGGATGAGAAAGTTCAGCTTTTCAGTAGGCTCAGAGAAATTTCTCTCGATAGACTTCCAAATCTGCACCACCAGCTTGGCTGCTCCCCAAACTGCAATCTGTGCTGCTAATCCCAGGCTAGTGACTCACATTCAACAAGCCCAGCCCTACTTCCCACCACTCCCTAACCCACTCCTTTTATTCCAATCTCATGCACATCCATTTAATCCCAGCCTTTGTGTCTTTCTTTCCCTCAACGTGTCCTCCCACAATGCCCAAATCTAAGCCTCTTATTCAGATTCCTGCCTAAGTCTACATCTGCTACCAAATCTCCTTAAAATATGTCAGAAACTACTCACCTCTTCTGTCTCTTAAATTCATTTTTATTTAACCCCGGTCTCATCCAGTTTAATGCTTAACTGTTTTGGTTTAGCGCTACCCTGTGTCCCTGGAAGACCATACGTTCTGTAAGGACGTCTGCACCACTTTTCTCCTTTCTCTACCTACTCGTTCCTCACGGCCTCCCCTCACCCCACACAGGGGACATAGAAAGAGATCGATAACACTCGTGGATTGGAACCGAAGTTTTAACTCCTGTTGATTCCAGCCTACACGTTCTACCCCTTCCGAAGCTAAACTGTAAATCCCAACATTTTTAACTTTGCCAGTCTTTATCACAATGACATAAGGTTGAGAGAATTTACTTCCAAGTCATTTAATATTCCCAATGTGCCTTTGAGAAAGACCTAAATTGAATCTCAAGGCTTTTTTTTATTTATCAGTTGCCTGTGCGGGGAGGTGAGGTGGAGTTGGGAGAGCAGAGGATTGTTACATTTCAATGTTAACTCTCAGTCACAGAGGAACAAACGCACCTACCCTGAGGAGTCACCAGGCTGCAGAGCGGATGCAAAGGTAACTGCTTTACCCCGCCTGGTGGTGGGGTGCGCTTTCACGTTCCTGCATCCCAGCCGTGCATCTGGGGACACTGGAGCCAACCCTCGCCCCCTGTGGGGCATTGCTCCTCAAATCAATAGCTGGAGGTGGATCGGCAAGACTCGGACTGTCGCTGAGATGCAACTGCAATAGAAATCCGGGCAGCCCCCCACCGGGGGCTGCGGTTGGCCGCCTGCGGG